CTGTGATACAAACAACATTGCATCACATTTAAAAGCAATTTGAAACTCTAAATTTTAAAGGACCAGCACTAGAGGGTCCAGTAACCCTTCCACATTAGCCTGGAGCACTCAAGGGTTTAAAATCCAAAGTAATGTGTTTTTTTTTTAATTTGGAAAGGAGCCTGAAGAAGAGTTACTTCTATCAACAACAGAAAAAGGTTAAACATAAGGTAAGGTACGGCAGCAAATTCAATGATTGAATAGAAATTGTGACAGCCCCTATTTTGTGGATAATGGCAAAATTATGGTAGCATTCATTCTCAGTTACTGATTCTACAGCACAAGGTAAAAGAATAATCCGTCCACAGTGTAGCACTTGCAAATCTGCGCAGCTCCACCAATGCTTTGGCATTCAAAATAATTTTTTTTCCTTTATGGGATGAGGGTGTCACTGTCTAGGCAGCATTTATTGCCCATCCATAATTGCCCAGAGGGTAGTTAAGAGTCAGCCACATTACTGTGGGTCTGGAGTCACATGTAGGCCAGACCAGGTGAGGATGGCAGTTTCCTTCCTGAAAGGGCATTAGTCAACCAGATGGGTTTTTCCCAACATCAACAATGGATTCACAATCATCATTAGATTTTTAATTCCAGATGTTTTATTGGATTCAAATTCCACCGTCTGCAATGGCAGGATTTGAACCTGGATACCCAGAACGTTGTCCGGTCTCTAGATTAACAGTCGAGCAATAATACCACTAGGCCACTGCCTCCCCCACAACATGGATGGAAGTATCAGGCAATTTCTATGTTGTTAGCTGATCCAAGATTGAACATTGGATCATTCTGGTAAAGCTTCTCAATACCCTCTGCAGGGCCTGCTCATCATTCCTAACATAGACGCCCAGATCTGTGCACAATATTCCAGCTGAAGTCTATTCAGAGATCATAAAGGTTCTGCATGACTTCTTTGTTTCTGGAACATTAGTATTTACAAAAATGAACACCTCAAATACTTTCTTAACCAAATTCTCAACTTGTCCTGCCAGTTTCAAGGATTTGTGTGTATACAACTCCAAGTGCCTCTGTTTTTGCATCACTCCCTCAAAATAGCAGCATTAGGTTATACTGCCTCTTCATGTTGCTTTTCCCAAAGTATGTTATTTCACTGTCATTAAACTGCACCTGCCATGTTTTGTTCATTAATTACACTGGCTATGGCCGCTTGAAATCTGTTACAATCATCCTATTTACTACATCGACAAATTTAGCAGTCTTTTAAAAAAAAGTTTTTCTTTCACTCACTGGATGTGGGCATCACTGGTTGAGCCAGCATTTATTGCCCATCCCTGATTCCCCTTGAGAAAGTGGTGGTGAGCTGCCTCCTTGAACTACTGCTGTGCATGTGCAGTAAGTAGACCTATTATGCCATCAGAGAAGAAGTCCAGGACTTTGACACAATGACACAGAAAGAACAGCAATATATTTCTACATCAGGATGGTGAGTGGCTTGGAAGTGTAGAGAGTGGTTCCCAGGTGGCTGATAGGTGGATGAAGGTCTTAGGTTACAGGAAGATTGGTTATAGATCTTAGATTACAGATTGGTCAGATGAGCAAATCAGTGGCAGATAGAATTTAACCCTGAAAAGTGTGACACAATGCACTTTGAAAGGAATAAAAGACAAGAGAGAGTATTCAATGAATGGGTGGGCACTAGAAAGCTCAGAGGAACAGAGGGATCTTGGGTGCTTGCCCACAGATCTCTGAAGATGGCAAGGCATGTTAATAGGCTAGTTAAGAAGGCATATGGGATCCTTGCCTTTATTAGACATAGCACAGATTATAACAGCAGGGAGACAATGTGGAGTTGATTAGGCCACAGCTGGAGTACTGCGTGGAGTTCTGGGTCACTGTAGGTAGGATGTGATTGCACTGGAGGTAGTGTGGAGGAGACTCACCAACATGTTGCCTGGGTTGAAACACTGTAGCTATGAAGAGGCTGGATAGGCTCAGGTTGTTTTGGAGAGAAGGTTTAGGGGGACCTGTATAAGATTATGAGGGCCATGGATAGGCAGCAACTGTTTCCCTTAGTAGAAGGGTCAATAAGGAGAGAGTATAATTTTAAGGTGAAGGGCAGGAGGTTTAGAGAACATTTAAGGAAAACCTTTTTCACCCAGGTAGTGGTGGGAATCCATGATACACATCCTGGGAGGGTCGTTGGACTGGGAAACTTCACAATCTTTGAAAGGTAAGCGGATGAGCACTTGAAATGTCATAATTTTCAAGGTTATGGGCCAAGTGCTGGGATTAGTGTAAATAGTGTAGATACAACGGCACAGACTTAATAGGCTGAAGGGTCTCTTCTCTGCTGCATGACTCTATGACTCTAAATTGGTAGCATTTCCATGTATCTGCTGCCCTTGTCCTTCTAGATGGAAGTCATCATGTGTTCGGAAGAGGCTGTCTAAGGAACCTCAATGAGTTTCTGCAGGGCACATTATAGATGGCACACTGTGCTGCTACTGAGCTTCGGTGGTGGAGCGCATGGATATTTGTACATAAGGTACTAATCAAATGGGGTGTTTTGTGTTCAATGTGTTGAACTTTTTGAGTGTTGCTGGAGCTGCATCCATTCAGGCAAGCAGAGAGTATTCCATCATACTCATGACTTGTGTCTTGCAGATAGCTAATGCATTTTTGGGGTGTGAGAAGTGAGTAACTTGCTGCAGGATTCCATGCTTCTGACCTGCTCTTGTAGCCATGGTATTCAACTGGCTAGTCCAGTTCAGTTCTGGTTAATGCTAACCTCCAGGATCCTGATAATGGTGGTTTCAGTAATGAGAACTCTGGACAATGATTAGATTGTTTCTTATTGGAGATGGTCATTGCCAAGCATTTGTGTGGCATGAATGTTATTTGCCACTTTAAGCCCAAGCCTGAATATTGTCCAGGACAAGAAGCATTTGGACATGGACTGCATCAATATCTGAGGTATCGCAAATGGTGCTGAACATTGTGCAATCAGAGAACATCCCCACTTCTGACCTTACAATGGAAGGAAGATGGTTGATGAAGTAGTTGATGATGACTGGATTTAGGAAGTCCTGAAGAGAAGTCAGTATGTAAGCTACAAAATTGCACTTCCTATCCCAAAGCCCAGGAGCTGAATTTTGAATCGCATGGTGGGGGAGGGGTGCATTGCCGAGACTATTTCCCCAGAAGCAATGTGATGGTTTAAAGGGCCATCTACCAAACAAAATAAACTAATGCCCAACAAGTCAGAAGCCGAGTGGAATTCTTTACAGTTTAATTAGTGTAAAGATCTTAATACTGATCCTTAGGCAAACCACACTTACAGCCTTCCAACTCAGGCCCTGTATCTTTTGGCCAGTTTTTCAGTCAATTTATGTGTCCTTTTAATACTACATATCTTTCTACTTTCTGAATATGTCTGTCGTGAAGAACTTTATCAAATACCTTTCGAAAATCATGTATGTTAAACATCTAAATCTATAGCCATCTTCATCAACACTGCTATTTCATTAAGGAACTCATCAGGTTACACAGACACAATTTGGCTTTAACAAATCCTAAATGGCTGTCCCTTATTAATCTGCACTTGAAAGTAAGTTTTTCCCCCCAAAAGTGATCAGTGGTGATTTTCACGCTATGATATTAGGCTGACTGGCAATCTCCCTTTTTTGAACAAGGGTGTAATACTTGTAATCCTCTAGTCCTCTGGCACTGTCCAAATACAGCTGAAGGGTTGAAAGGTCAAAGCTTCTGAATCCAACCTAACTTCCCTCAGTAACTCAGACGCTATCATATCTGGCATTGACTTGTTGACATTGAGTAATGTCAATCTATTTGTCATAAATCTTCTTTTCTGTGTCATTTTAATCTTTCTTTCTGTTGTCATCCTGGAAACTCTAGCTTTGGACATCCATTTTTCTTTTTGGGAATATGTTGGGTGTTCACTCAAGCCATCTCTGCAGTTGGAGCAAGTTACAATTTATGCTTTCTTGACCAACAGTATTTTTATATTGCTGTTGCTAAGAGTTTTGGCGAAATCCCACCTGAATTACTACATTTAGTTTTGGGCCTTGAACCTCAAGGAAAGGTATAATGACCTTGGAAGAAGTACAGTGCAGTTTCACCAGAATTATACTAGATCTTCAAAGGGTTAAATTAAGAGGAGAGTTTGTATAATCCCAGTTTCTGTTCTCTCAGATTTAAAGGGAGATCAAATGAAGGTAATTAAAATTAGAAAGAGACTCTGTAGAATAGATATAGATATCTATCTCCTCGGGTGGAAGTATCAAGGACAATAGACAATCTTCAGCTTAGAGTCAGATATTTAGTGGTAGGATCAGAAAGCGGATCACTATCTCCACACAAAAAGTGGAATCGCTCCCCCAAAAGACTGTACATCCTCAGTCAATTGAAAAAGAAGGCTGAGGTCGCTTTTTGCTGTGTGCGTGGATAGAGAGATGCAGCAGGACGGTGGATAAAGGAGCTAAAGAGTCGCACCAGCCGTGATCCAACTGAATGCACAAGCTCGAGGGGTTGACTGACCTCATCCTACTCCAATGCCTCTTTACCTTTCATCACCGAAATAAAGTCTTCGAGCTCAAAAGAATAACGCCAAGAAAACAGCAAACAGCACTGCAGGAAAAGGGATGGGGAAGATAAGGATACCTAACCAGATGTAGATAGATTTGGCGATCAGTGGCGACGATAGCTAATGTACGGAGAGCTAGCATATTCATATACCACTCACCTGATGAAGAAAACTGAGAACAATCAGAGGTGCTCTAAAAGAAATCCAACCAGCTATTGCATCTAAAACCACTCCGGCCAAACAGACGTGTTTTGTTTTACACTAAGGCGGCTTATTGGTTTCCTTTAAAGTGAAAACAAAAGTTCCAGAACATGGATTCCCACAACTAGAAAAATTCTGTTTAAACATCCAGCAATATGTATAGTGGCTAGCACAATAAAAACACAAAGAAACTTTTTACCTTCAGTGATCAATTGCATCAGGTGTCAAGAGGAAGTTACCAAATCAAAACATTATTCCTCTAAGTAGGAAAACTGTACAGCTTGTCCTCACACCCACCCTGTCAGGATCTCTTTACAAGTATCTGTGCACACCCAGCTCAATAACCAGTCACCAACACAGGAAAAACCTGGAATGGATTCTGACAACAAAAGGGATTTCGGAAATCCACCCGAAGTGTTTGGGTCTGAGATGATCAAAATAGTAATAATTGCAATGGAACGAAACAATCTGAATAAAATATTTAAACAGTTTGTTCACAATTAAAACGTACAATGGCATTGCAAAGTGTTTTCCAAACTTAATTTGTTAATTGTTTAGCACGTTTAAAAGCATATTTTCGTTATGATTCACTTTATTCTTACATCAAGTGCGGGTGATATCATTCCAATACAACCTGGTGTTCTGCTCATTGTCAATTGTGATAAAGAATCCAATTGTTCAATAATAAAATATGCTGGAAATCTGCACTGAAAGTAGAAAATGCTGGAAATATTCAGCAGGTCAAGGACAAACTGAGACAAGGAAATAAAAGTTAATGGGCAGGATCTTACTGAAACTTCAGGATTTTGAACACAAGACCAAATGTGGGTTCCAACACAACCAGCCTCCTCCCAACTTAACAGCACCAGTTAACTCAGCAATTTTATTAAAAGAGGCCTCCCAATGGCCAAAACCCAACCTACCATGCAACAGATCAGAGGCCAGCAGCTCTGAAGCCTCAGCAACCCCATAGCAAGATGGGCACAGCTAAAGCAGATGAGGTACCTGAGGACACCTCCAGATAAATATATTCCTGTGTGGTCCTACGATGTCAACAGGATTACTTACACACTAAACAGCATAAGCAGTGAGTGATGAACAGAGCTAAGTGATCCCACAACCAACAGATCAGACCTAAACTCTACAGTCCTGCCACATCCAGACATGAATAGTGGACAATTAAACAACTCATTGGAAGAGGAAACTCCATAAATATCTCCATCCCCAATATTGGAAAAACCCAATACATCAGTTCAAAAGATAAGGCTGAAGCATTCACATCTGTCTTCAGCCAGACTTGTTGAGTGGATGATCTATCTCGGCCTCCTCCAATGGTTCACAGCATCACAGATGCCAGTCTTTAGCCAATTCGATTCACTCTACATAATATCAAGAAATGGTTAGAGACACTGGATACTGCAAAGACTGTGGGCTCTGACAACATTCCGGCAATAGCAGTGAAGGCATATGCTCCAGAACTTGCCACGCCCCTAGCCAAGCTGTTCCAGTACAGTCATAACACTGACATCTATCAAACAATGTGGAAAATTGCCCAGGTACATCTTGTGCACAAGAAGCAGGTCAAATCCAACCCAGCCAATTACCAACTCATCAGTGCACTCACGATCATCAGTAAGGTGATAGAAAGTGTCATCAACAGTGCTCTCAAGCAGCACCTGCTCAGCAATAACCTGCTCAGTGACGCCCAGTTTGGGTTCCGCCAGGGCCACTCAGCTCCTGACCTCATTACAGCCTTGGTCCAAACATGGACAAAACAGTTGAATTCTAGAGGGTGAGGTGAGAGTGACAGCCTTTGACATCAAGGCTGCATTCGACTCAGTGTGGCAAGAAGGGGCCCTAGCAAAACTAGAGACAATGGGTATCAGGGGGCAAACTTTCCATTGGTTAGAATCACACCTGGCACATAGAAACATGGTTGTGGTTGTTGGAGATCAGTCATCTCAGCCCCAGGACATCTCTGCAGGAGTTCCTCAGGGTAGTGTCCTAGGCCCAACCATTTTCAGCTGCTTCATCAATGACCTTTCCCCATCATAAGGTCAGAAGTGAGGATGTTCACTGATGATTGCATAATATTCAGCACCATTTGCCACTCCTCAGACACTGAAGCAGTCCATGTCCAAATGCACCAAGATTGGGACAATATCTAGGCTTGGGCGAGCAGGTGGCAAGTAACATTCGTGCCACACAAATGCCAGGTAATGACCATCACCAATAAAAGGCAATCTAAATATCACCCCTTGACATTCAATAGTGTTACCACCACTGAATCCCTCACTATCAACATCCCTGTGGTTATCATTGACCAGAAAATCAACTGGACCCACCACATAAAGCCATGTGGCTACAAAAGCAGGCCAGAGGTAAGGAACACTGGCGAGTAATTCATCTCCTGACTCCCCAATGGGAGCTGCGATACAGGAGTGTGATGGAATGCTCCCCACTTGCCCGGTTGTGCAGCTCCAGCAACACTGAAGAAGCTTGATACCATCCAGGACAAAGCAGCCCGCTTGATTGTCGCTACATCCATAAGCATTCACTCCTTCCACTACCGACGCTCAGTAGCAGCAGTGTGTATTATCTACAAGATTCACTGCAGAAATTCACCTTCCAAACCCACAACCAGTTCCATCTAGAAGGACAAGGACAGCAGATACTTGAGAACATTACCAACTGCAAAATCCCCTCCAAGCCACTCACCTTTCTGACTTGGAAATATATCACCATTCCTTCACCCCACTAACTGCATTGTATGTGAACTTACAGGATGTGAACTGCAATGGTTCAAGTAGACAGCTCACCATCACCCTCTCACGGGCAGTGAGGGACGGGCAATAAACGCTGGCCAGCCAGCGACACTCACGTCCCACAAGTGAATTTAAAATAAAGGAAATCTAGCTAAGGTTGAGGGTCAGAGAGGTCACCACTCTGGGAATTATATTGGTGCCTTGAGTGGAGTGGGATGGGGGAGGTATGCTACCCTGCCTGTAGCCTCCTGTTTCAGCAGTGGAAGGTCTGGTTGGAATGCCTCACATCGCCCTGACCTACTGGAAGTGGGCTGTCGTGGGTGACTGCTCCATGTGGCCAGAGGCAGCCCCATTGTATGACCCTGGTGGCTCCTCCCACCAAGCCCCCCCACTACCAATGTTTCACGTTGATGGTCTTTCATCAGAACTGCAAAAAGTTAGAAATGTTACAGGTTTTCAGTAAGTACGGAAGACTGGAAGCGAAATGAACAAAAGGGAGGTCCTCTGGTGAAATGCAATGCAGAAGAGATTAAATGATGAAACAGATGATTATTGAGGACAATAAAAGATGGTAATCGGACAAGTAAAGAAACAAAAGATAGGTCAGGTGTAAATATAAATAGCAGCAGCAGAATCAACACTAACAGTTACTGTATGAAATGTATGGGAGCAGTGGTTATGACTTGAATTTATTAAATTTAACTTTGAGTCTGAAAGGCTGTAAAGTTTCTTATATTGGGCTTTTCTTCAGGACAGGGTGGTCAGAGTAGAAAAGGAGTGGAGAATTAAAATGCCAGACAAATGGAAACTTAGAGTCCTGCCTACATGTTCTGTCTATAATCATGGATCACTTGGGAAGAAATATTTTTATTGTGATACTTATTTTGGCATAGTTTAGTTTGATTGGCTCATCCTTTGTTAATGCTGCTTTAAGAGGAACATATTGTGGCAATGTCAGTTGGTAGGTGGCAGATAGGTAGCATAGTAGGTAGACAGGATGGTAGTGTGTAAGGCGCTAACTGAGTGGGGTGGTCGAATGGCAGTTCAGTGGGGTGGTAGATAAGAAGGATGATGGCTGGGCAGGATGATAAATGTGAGGTGGGATAAATCAACAGGCTGAAAGGTGGAAAGGGTGGTGGAAATTTTAGTGACTGAGAGTGAGCGACAGTGAGTGAGTGAGTGCATGAGTGAGTCATTGAGTATGAGTGATTGAACAAGAGTGAGTAAGTGGGTAAGTGATTGAATGAGTGTGAGTGAGTGTTTGAGTGAAAGAGTGAGTGAATGAATGAGTGATTGAATGAGCGATTGAGTCAGTGAGTGATTGAGTGAGTGGGTGACTGATTGAGTGAGAGAGTGAGTGATTGATTCAAGAGTGAGTGAGTGAGTAAGAGAGTGAGTGAGTGAGTGAGTAAGACAGTGAGTGAGTGAGTGAATCGAGGTCATTGTGTCAGGCCAGGAAGGGTTGTTTGGTTGGGGACCATTGATGTAGACCACGTACGATGGTCTGGTCGTGGAGCTTAGTCACATTTGGCCTGAAGCTATTTGGCTAGGGTTTGGGGAAAGCCAGATATTCAAGAGGTATATTGGGGAGGGGTGTCACTGTGAGTAATTGAGGGGTGGTTGTGCAGATACTTAGAAGTTAGACCCACATTTTTCTGTCTAACATTTCCTGTGTAACAATGCAACAAGTAAATCAGAATTGTCTCTGACTCTAAGTCAGAATTGGTGACTTTTGTGGAGAGTCTTCATGAGCAGGGAAATTTTCTATTGAAAGTTCAGACTTCGTAAGGGACCAGTATGTTGGGATTTGATGAGCTTCTCGTGTCATATATTTAGTCCCTGACAATCTGTAGTCCAGAAATACACATAGCCTCCCTATCTCCCTGTCCCACATCTTCACAATTGCCATTTCTCTACTTTTCCAACAACCATGCCTGAGTCAAGATAAGAGATTAAACAGGTGGCTGAATCCATGGTTTAACTAATGCAGCTTATAATGTGGACGTTGGGAGGTGCTGAATGGTGAGTCTGTTATAACCCTCCCTGTAGAAAAATATGATGGGTAAATACAATCTCACAATACAATTTCTCTTTAACCCTTTGTGTTCTGATTCCCTACACCAAAGAGCACAGCTGATTAAACTGTACACTTGATCAGGACTTGCAGGTCACAACCCAGCTCTAAATGAGAAGTAGCCATGGGTCCTGATTCTCTCTGAGGTCGCTCATTAATGGCCGAGTATAGGTTCGGCAACTAATATGGCAATGGCCAAAGTACTTTAAATTTAATACTCTGCAGAGTTCTGATTCTCCTCAAATTTGTGTTTGAGTCCAAATTGTTTGTCAAAATTCTTTGCGTCTTTGTTTTTGTTTTATTGATGAGAGAACCTGGCTCAATTCTTCTTGAAGCTGAACCTGTCACTGCCTGACAACTATTTAATTGGCCCAATCACCAATCCAGTTACATTTACTGTGACCATTGGAGGAGACAATCCACAATTTATCCTTTTTGTCAATGTCACTGCAGATACAAGAACTAAGC